TCTCTGTTCAAGGGAGAGGTGGGTGGGACCTCTTTTAGTTTGCGCGTGTTGCTTTTGGCCCGCCCTCCACCCTATGGAGCAACTCGTTGCTCATTTGCATCAGCTGCAGCGCTACGTGGTCTTCCGCGAGCGTGTTCGAAATGCTCTCATGTTCATCGATGACGTTTTGGACAACATCGACACCTACAATCTGAATCCACAATGGACACAGCGAATGTCCGTGACCAGGGAAACCCTAGTCACGTTGGATCGTGAATTGACGCAAACAATTGCTTTCACCTTTACCAGTGCACAGCGTGTTCTTGAGAATACCACTGAAAGGTGGAATTGGTCCTAAGGAAGTTACAACCTTCCATAATTTTGTACCATAAAGCCTAACCCTGCCGTTGGAAGAGGGAGGCCGATCATGAGACAAGACTGGATCTCCCCGATGCTGTCTAAAAGTGCGGAAGGAGTCAGCAGAGCGAGAGAGTCGCAGTTTGTCATATGCATGTGTGATAAATCTGAGAATTGAATTGTGTAGATTAAATAATTTTCTATTTATATTTATATATATTTATATATCGATATAAATCGATATATTATATTTTAATGTTTTCCCTGATTGCTGATTGGCAAGGTCATGCAAACAAGAATTCGGGAGGGCAATTGGTATCGTTTTTACGGACGTGCTACTACGGAGTCTTCTGGGCAGACAACACTGCATCACGTTCCCATGGTCTACCACCAGCAGCCTATGGGAGGCATTCGCCCATGTCGGATGCTATGCAAGCTGTTCTGGCAAACCCCTACTACTTAGTGGAGGAAGTAGTGCCTTGGTTAAGTTTGGGACGCTTTGACCTGTTGGGGGACTTAAGATTGTGGAAGGATGTGGAAGTCCCTGTTCATCCCTGTTCATTTTCTAGGGATGTCCATGCTGTGCCTGTCCATTTTGTAGAGCCCGTATCTATCCTGCCCATTTTGCAGGATGGACCTCTCTCTTCGATGACAGTGCCCTGGAGCTTGAAAGGCACCCTTCTCCACCACTTATGTGTTGGGCTGTGCATTGCACCCTCCATGCACCGCCATCTTCATCTCTCCGAGAGATGCGAGACCGCCCTGTGTGGCTTCCTGCTCTTGGACATGTTTGATGCACTGGCCCGAGACAAGTGCAAAGACATGGGCCTACCAGCCGGCTCTTGCTTCATGGCTCCTCAAACCCGCTCGTCTCTCCAACATGTTGCCCTCAGCATAGTGATCGTTTGCATCACGAAGGATGCATGCTTCCAACCTTGGAAGGGCAATGGCCGAATGACCGAGCTCAGCATAGAGCAGCACTTTGGATTCCTACGATGTCAAATGCAGAACGCTCAGATGTCCACAAGGCAGTTTTTTGTGGCAGACGCACGGCAAGCAGTCAAGACATCAAAGATGCTTGACCACCAGAAAGCAGTCCCAAAGGACAAAGCTGAACCAAAGCTGACTACGGAAGAGCTACTTGAATCAGTTCATTCAGGGATATTCAGGTATATTAAGGGATATTAAATTATATTAAGGAATATTTATGAATATTTATATAGTGTTAGATATGATGTAAGTCATTCCAATCCACTTTCTAGTGCCAAAATCTATACACCCAACCATTCCCAACCAATTTGTAGTCACAACATTGTTTAACATCAGATCCTTGCTTCAGGTTCCAAGAATGCTGCCAGAGGGCTTGGAAGGCTTGTTTGAAGCTTGTGTCCAAATGCAGTGGCATCAGCGAGAAGTTCGTGGAGTCGCAATACAAATTGTTCTGCAATGATATGCAGTTCACTGGTGAAGACACGATGCTTCGTGAGGAAGACGATCCGGAGGTCCTCCAAGAAGCTGGCGCTGATGTAGCTGAGAAGAAGGGTGAGGGCGAGGATTTCTTGCGCCAAGTGCAGACAGAAACTGCACTGCTGAAGGATTGCTTGGACAATGGGATTGAGCCAAAAGACACAGAGAAGGGTCCTTCTGGTGAGGATTTGGACGTGGGTGGACTTCCAGATGAGAAGGAGTTGCGCCGCTTGCTTAGCGTGGAGAATCCGTCAGAGGCCTTTCGAACCGAAACAGCAAAAAGCCCGAGAGGCAGTCCTCCTCACAGCAATGATCACCTTCCAGTAACCTTGAGAGAGGCTTTGGAGATGCGAGGTGATATGTTCAACGCGCTCTTTCGACTCCTGGTGCGATTGAGATCCGCCAAGGGCGGATGTGACACGCTTTGGCTGAAGAATGCGAGAAGCTCGCGAAAGTCAAGCCGAAATCTAAATTGGTACCAGTCACTCGGCCTAGATGGTCAAATATCTTTAGAAGATGTTTGAAGTCTTTTGAATATTTTTGATAGTTTGGGAATCTTTTGGCATCTTTTAAGTTGTGTTTTGAAGGCCTCCCTTAGAAAATGCACAGGATTACCATGGATTACCAAATAACATATATGTGTCAATATGTGTCCGGAGAGAAAGCTCTAGAAAATCAAAGGGCTTCAAAGGTATGATGAAGGATGAAAAACCAAAGTTGAGGTATAATGAGCGTCAGATCGCCCTCATGAACGCCGAGACAGAGGATCCTCAGCACAGAGCTCGGACTTCCAGACTTCAGAAGTGGAAGGAACTAGTCCAAGATGCTCAGAAGCAGCTCCAACTTCCGTCTTCTGCACCGACGAGTATCCAGTGCCTTTGGATGCCTTTGGACATGGATGCCTTTGGACAAATTCCCATTCATTTTCTAGAGATTGTAAAGAAGATTTGTTAGCACAACCTTTCATTTACTAGTATGCAGCAAGATTGTATAGATACCGGCACCTACGAATGCATGCACTTCCCTTCCCGCTGACAGTTGGATTTGCAAGGCCGGGAAACATAGTGCTCTTCTGCCTTCCTTCCAGCTCGCAGTCAGTTGATGTTGGGATGGTTCTGAGTGTGTGGCGGGGGGTAAAGGCCCCCAAGCTGGTCAGTTCCGGGTGCCCCATTGACAACTGCAGCGCCTTTCGAGTGGTAACGCTGGACAAGCGGTCAGCTGATGATCCCGAGTCAGACTACTACTGCAACTCAACGAGTCCGGCATGGGCCCTCAGGGTGGAATCCTTGGTGACAATCCTTGATTGTGAACGCTGTGCCCTGGATTCTTTCCATAGCTTTCCTATGCTTTTCTGGAGCTAGTTAGTAAGGAGATGTTCGGGGGGATGCACTTAGTTCTAGTAAATGATTGTGCCCAGGTAAGATTGGCCCTGTCATGCCCTGTTCATCCCTGTCCATCCTGTCCATTTTTAAGGGGATGCACTTAGTTCTAGTAAATGGTTGTGCCCAGGTAAAATTGGCCCTGTCCCATGTCTTCCCAGGTGTGCAGCCGCTAGACAACACAGGATATGTGAAGATTGTCTTGTCCGAGCAGAGCACCAAGGCTTTGCAAAAGGTTGAGGACCTTGAGGTGTGGATTGTAGAACCTACCATGACACGTGGACGGAAGAAGGCAACAGACGTTCAGCCTAAGAGGGCGCCCAGAAAGAGGAAGAGAGATGCCGAGCAGCCAAAAGCCAGCAAGAAGGACAAAGTCCGCAGAGAGACAGTGAATGCAGTGCTAGCTAGTGAGCAGCAAGAGGATGCAGAAGAAGAACTGCTTTTCACAGAGAAGAGCATCAGCCGGGCGCCCAAGGGCCATGCAGCCATCAGGAAGAAGGTCAGCGAGTTGCGCTCGCTAGATGCAAGGGTATATGAACACGTGCCGACCTTTGGTGTAGATGGCCTTTGCAGGATGAAGATGCCAAGCGCCGTGGGTGTGTCGATGAAGTCAATCATTGAGCAATCGCCTGCTTGCTTTGAAGCGATGACCCTTTGTTTGTTACACAAATTCTGTTTTTTATTTGTTTGATATTGTTTGATCAATAAACTTAACAGCAACTCCCACAAATCCTACCGTTTTCTAGATTTGACTGTTGCTGCCTTACCAATTTCTAGTGACAGATAGTGACAGCTTTGAGCAACAACTCCCACAGGTCCTACCGTTTTCTAGCACTTCATTGTTGCTGCCATACCAATTTCTAGTGTCAGAATGCCTCAGGTTTTGGAATCTTCGCACGCCACACATCTACGCAAAGGCTGTCTTCAAGGTGATTTCGAGTGCAGAATCGCAGCTTCAGAGGGATGAGCCAACGAGGCAATCCTTTTTGAAGCTGATCAAGGAGATTTGCGACTACATCAGCTCAAAGAAAAGCGCAGCCGGTGAGAATGCAAACGCAAAGTGACCTGCTGTTGCTGTTCGTATCTGTGTGTAGCTAATTTGAAGTTTGAACATGTTTAGAAGGTGATGCTGAAATCAGTGCGCCTGCGCTTTAGCACTTGGGGTTGGCAAAGCGCTGATGAAACCAGACAATCAAAATGATTGTCCTGAAAAAAACTCGGAAGGATTCGGAAGCCAAGATTGGGTGGAAAAAAGTGTGCTATAGTTTGCTGATGTTTGCTGTGTCGTTTATGTCTGTACATGTCAAATCTGATAGATGCTGATTGCATATGATTGGAATCGATTTTGCAATATTGTACAAGATCTGACGCTCTAGAAATTGGTTGCTTGATGTTTTTTCATAATTTTCATGGATGACTGAAAATCTCTAGGAAATGGTTACTTAAATATTCGGCCATCGAGGAATCTTGGTCAAAAATCCCTTTCCCATGCACCTCTAGAAAATGCATTTTTTTTAAACATTCGTCTCATAATACGGACGATGGGAACCTGTACAAGACCATTCCCTAGACAGGCAACATTTCATCAAGGTAAGGTCTAATTTTTATATGTTCTGGAATGCCTAGCATTTTCTAGAGAGTGTTTTTACCTGGCCATGACCATTTACTAGACGAAAGTGAATGCCCCGTTTTTTCTAAGTAGAGAATGGTCCATCCAAGTTCACCTTGAAATTCTAAGGGGGATCCTTTTTGTGTGTTTTGCGTCTGCATATGAAGCTGGTTCCGACTGGTTACTCGGTTACTCCTTCAGTTTCACAGGACTTGATGAAACTGCTTCGCAGCGGTGAGGTCGATGAGGCCGTTGTACAACCATCACATACCACCACCATTGACAATACTAGTATTTGAATGTATATGATAAAGGCCTTTGAAGGAGATGGGGTGTTTCTTGCCATGTGGACCTACAATGTGTTGCTAAAGACTCTTCACATTATGGAGATGACATGTGAAAGGTGCAGAAAAATCGTCCTTGTTGCGTTTTATTTCCAGATCTCTCGAAGTTTCGAAAGGAAGATCTCCTCGAATGCTTGAAAGATGATGTGCGTGGCCGAGACCCCTTGGAGGCCGTGCACAAGAGACGACGCGTCGTGGATTTGAGTAGGTCCTTTTCGGTCTTTGGTTCAAGCAAAGCAGGACAAAGCTGACCATGCTGCCCATCAGAAGGACAAAGATTGGTACGGGCGCTCTGGAGCATCTTCAAACTCTGTTCGCTTCAAACTCTGTTCGTCCGATTTGAGTTCGAAGTGTCTTCGGGAGTACATGGAATACGCAATTTCACAGGTATGTGTTGAAGGGACAAAAGGATTTGTCAACTTATACAAGCAAGCCTTCTGTGATCAGTGTAACCCTTGTCAGAATGCGGTCTGAAACACTTTTGGCATGCTGAGGTGGACTCCCTTACATTGGGCGGCACAGGCGCCAGCTAGCATTTGAAACCTAGTTACAAAGCTGAAATCAAAAGAGGAGTGCCCCGCTTTTGTGGATGAACTGAAGCAATCATTGAAGGTGTTGCTGTTTCACTTGTCTTCCATCAAAGTATTGAAAGATAACATGTTCGACCCGTGTTGCTTGACATGTTGCTCAAGGGGCAAGACGGTTCTTGTTACAACTGTTTTGCAGCAAGGACGGCCATGAGCGCTTGGCTGAGAAGCTTCTGGGTCTTCGAGTCAGCTGGGACCAAGAGTTCACACGAACGTTCTGTTTTGAAAGCATTTGCTTCAAAAAGGATTATATATTTAGAGTCTAGAGTTTGATTGAAGTATTTTGAAGCACGTTCTTTTGGTGCCACTCCACTTTGTGGCTGGAAACGTTCTAAATGCAAAGAGCGCATTGAAAGTTTCTTTGGGAAAAGAACATGTTGGACATCCAAATCACGCAAGACTTGAAAGACTTGTCAGTTGGAGGTCTGGATCTTCAGGCCTCGCTTTACCGAGGCACAAACGCAGCAGACACCTGCGGTGCTACACCTTTGGCCTCACCGGCGATTTGAAGCCTTTGTCAATAATGTGTTTGAAATATAATGAAATATTATGTACAACTTCAATCAAGCATAGCATATTGTCTTCATGTGTCAACCATTGTTTTATCGTTTGCAGCTGGAGACGCACTCTTTGCAGAGAACGAGCTCAACTCTGTGAGACAAAGAGCAGAGTCTCAAGGAATCTGATAGTTTGCTGTAGCGTCAGGAGAGGGTCACGAACTCCCAATTCCATTCGAAGCTGTGCATTCTGCTAGATGATTGCAGCCTTTAACGGCCGCACCCGGATCATTGAGGCGAGGAAAGGAACAGTGTGATCAGTGTGAACGTTTGGGGGACGAAGCCGATCTAGGAACGAGTGGACCTTGACAAGCTGTTTGGTGTGTAACATGTGCATTTGTCAGACCTGTGTTTCATTGCAGTAACCGTCGACCGTTTGCGAATCGCGGTGCGTCGCCAGGCCCTCCTGAAGGATCGGTCCACCGATGTGCGGCAGGCAGAGCGGCGGAACTTCGCGTAGCCATTGCGGACACGTGTCATGGCGTAGCCATCGCATCTCGTGGCGACATGTGTTTAATTCCACCGTCATTTTGCAACGACTTTCTAAGTACAAGCCTTGAGCACCCGTTTGGCGCGTTTAATCTCTTTCTGCCCAGACGAGTCTCAATTTGGATCAATCTTGCAGGACTAGGTGACCAGGTGGGGATAGGTGACTGGGACTTTCAGCTAGCCTTGTTTTGGGTTCGGTGTTCGAAAAGTGCCGCCGCAGACGAACAAGTACCTTACTACAGCACTCCACTACGCGGCACAACGTGGACACGTTGGGATGCCCATTGAAGCTATGAAGGTGCAGTCTCCACGTGGTTTGCAAATGCATCCCTTGTTCCTAGTAGCGATGCCAGGAGCTACTACCTTCTTGTTGCTAGTAGTAAGGCCAGGGGCGCTTCTAGTAGCATCCTTGCTCTGCCAGAAATTTGATCGTGAGAACTCACACCTCGCGGCTTGAGGCTGCAAGCATCGAGATGTTAGTCGAGTCAAATGCAGAGGCTTCAGTTCTTGCAGTATACCATGCAGTGCCATGCAGTGCCAGCTTCCCGTTCTTAATTTTCAATATACATGCTTTATTGTGCTTTGTGTGTATCATGCTTTGATCAGATGTAGCACCAGTTGCATGTACATGCCATAGTCGTTCATAGATGTATGTTTCACTGCAGCCGTTTTGGGTTTACTTGTTTACTTCAAGCGTGAGCTAAAAGTGTGCCTATCACCTTTGGGACTGTGACTTGGGGTCACTACGTTTGTGAGCCTAAATTCTCCGTTCATGGTAGCGGAGCTGAGGTTCTAAGACCCAGCTACCGTCTGCAGATTGAAGGTTCCCGAACTCCATCGGTTCTGGCACCGGAGGTCCGTGAATACAAACGTCACTTGCAGGAAAGCCGGATTGCTTCCGCGTGTGTCCGCTGCACGGACTTTTGGTCTCAAAAAGAGGCTTCGGTGTGTCGTCAAGTGTGAAATGCTCTTCAACCCTAACTTCCATGGTACACTTCTTGATTTGGTGCACCGGCACTCCCCCTTCACCGGCTCGGTGAATCTCGGTGCGACCTTCCCAAGGACCGGGCACTTGAGGTACTCCCGAACGATGCTCAGGTCCAGGCCATAGTCCCCAATTCTCTCCTCTCGGCCTTCCCAAGTCGACCCATGCCTGACTCTCGAAGTTCTGTTCTGGGGTCCTTGGTGGCGGCCCTTTCGGAGGTGAAGGTGGTGGGGTACGCGTAGGTGGTCTTGGCTTCGGGTCCTTGACCTCCTTGCAGTCTCTGGCCTCCACCTTCTTCTTCAACTCCTGAAGCTCCTCCTTCGGGGATGCATTCTGAGTGAGGACTGCCCTGAGCACCTCCTGCACGTCCACGAAGGTCCTGAGGCTGACGCTGGAGCTCTGACCACCATCGCATCCTTTGCGTCCTCCAAAGCCAGCTGCTCAGGATCCTCCTCAGCGCTTTGCATGCCTCGCCGCTGCCGCTGCCATCCGGCGTCCCAGCGCCCGCAGCCGGCATGGGGACCAGCACCGTGTCACCCTCGCGGTGATCACGGGTGGAAAAGGCTTGGGCTCATAACCGGCGTGTGTCCGCTGCACGGACTTTTGGTCTCAAAAAGAGGCTTCGGTGTGTCGTCAAGTGTGAAATGCTCTTCAACCCTAACTTCCATGGTACACTTCTTGATTTGGTGCACCGGCAGCTTCAATCCCTGGCTAGGAAGTTAACGTGGCACAGCAGCCAGGAGCACAGGCACAACCAGCAGACATGGCGCAGCAATTTGCACAGATGATGCAAGCACTAGCACAAGGGCAGAATCGACTGCAACGAGCAATGGCAGAAGCATACACCCAGCAAACGGCAATCACACGGAACATAGCAACCAGTGTAGAAGCGCGACAGATCAGAACTGAAAGGCATCCCAAAGCCTGACAAGTTCAATGCACACACAGGTACCTGGGACTCATGGTACTTCAAGTCACAAGAATGCAGGAAAGTGCATTCAGCACATCCTGCGTCAGACACAGCAGTGGAAAGAACAGCAGACCAAGGGCACCTCCACGCAACCACTCCGCGTGGTCTTGGGGCAGATGGTGATACAGGAGATTCTGGACCGCTTCACGAAGCTGCAAATTAAGGGTACTCAGGATCCCATTTGGCAGAAGGCGATCCAACAGCTCATCATCACCCCAAAGGCCTTTGTGGCCCCACCTGCAATGGGGTCCGACTCAGAAGAAGCTTCAAGTGTTGCCCAACAAGACCCCTATCAAGGGGGAACGGATTCAGAAAGCCTTGGAGGATTTTGTGGAGTACATGCGGAACCCGGGCCGTCTGCTCAGGTTCAAGAGCCTCCAACCACCACAGGCATCCAGTGATCCCCTTCCTGATCCAGGTCAGTCTGAGGGACAACAGCCTGTACGAGACGCTGTCGTGGCTGAGTCACAACCTGTTTGGATGCTGGCGGAAGCCAGACTCCGCCAACGCATGGTTCGCCCGACCTGGTGACACAGCTCCTCAAAGGGCTAGGGCGCAATGGCCGCTCTTCCTAGACCAGGGATTGGCCACGGTGATGGGCTGAAAGCTGGTCAATCAGGACAATGCTTGCTGGCTCAACGCCACTGTGGTGGCCTTCTTTTGGGCACAACTTCAATGTCGTGGCCTTTACTGGCAAGATCTCAGCAAGGGCGCAGCAATGTTCCAATCCCTTTGCAGCCGCGCCAGCACTACACTGGACCTGCTACGGGACCGTGCATCTCAGGCACTTCTGAATGGGTGGCACTGTGAAGGGCAACAAGAGCTGCTTTCCTTCACCAGCCACTTTTTGGGATGGTGTCAACCACGCCATGTGGACAACACCTGGGAACGTAGATTTGATGAGGCTGCACAGCTCAAGTGTCATGACCAAGGGGGAAAGCTTGGTCCAATCATTTTTGACGCCAGCCGCACCATCAGAAAAGAAGCTGGATTTGCAAGCGTGTGTGGATGAATGGCGCACTCAGTATGGCATGATCGCTGCCTTGCTCAGAGCACAAACATGTATGGTTCTCTACATAGAAAAATCTCAGTTTATGCCCCAAGGTGAGGCTACCAAAGCTCCGTGGCGCCTGGAGCTGCCGCCAAATGGAGTCATCTGGCTCCCCCGCTTTCGAGAGGCGCGAGACTTGGCCATTGACCATGTGGCCTACCAGGTCTCTAGCATGATTGTCCATTCAGGTTCACATGAGGCTGGACACTACGGACGGATTGCCTTTCAGGATAACTGGGAGGCCCGCACGGACCATGCCCTTCATCGCGAGCCCGACCAAGATGTCTTGCTGGTGTGGCTGGTTGATGCCAATAGGTACTTCACTTGGCCATCCGCACTCATGAAGGACGAACTTGTCACCCATGCCGTCCGGCCAACTACGGGATCTTTCAGGCTAAGGACTCGCTCCTGTCACGACTGCTGCGCACGACATGTCCGCTGCGCGGGATCCCAATCATGACCGTCCACCTCTTTGAGGAGCATGCCAAGGCATACCACTGGGACCTCTGGCAACTCGGCATGCAGCATATGCAGGCCACCTGGCCGCAAGGTCCTGCCTTGTGTTTGGTGTGCTGGTTGGATCAAGACACAGAGATCAATGAGACATCTGAGGCCTGGGAGAACATCAGGCGAAAATACGAAGAGCGAAAGAAGAAAGCTCTTGATGACGACATAGCTAGCCAGAAGCTGTCTCCAGCAGATGTGTCCAGCAAAGCTTCAAGATCACCCTGACCTCCAGAGTTCAAGACTCACTGACTACGATGTCATGAAGTCAGAGGTTTTGGCCTATCTCGAGAACATCGAGAGCCGAAGAGAAGCCAAGACAGGATCAGCTGGATGTTGATGCGTTGGCCGCAGCTACCAGCCAGATGCAAGCTTCACTTGCGAGTCTGGCAAAAGCCAAAGCAAAAGGCAAAGGTGGCTCAAAAGGCGGCAAAGGAAAAGGAAAGAGTCAAGATGGAGGCCAGGGAAACGACAAAGGTAAACAGAAGGGAAAAGGTTCGAGTTGGTCCAATCCCTCGTCATGGAACAATTCATGGAATAAGAATAAAGGCGAAGGTGGCAAAGGCAAAGATTCTTAAAAGTAAGGGCAAGAGTAAGAGTAAGAAGGTAGCTACAGTTGAAGAATCTGAAACCTCTGTGGCTCAAGAGCATCAACCCGAGACCGAGTATTCCATGGCTTTGTGGTGCGCCAGAAGGAAAAAACAAAAGGTTACAAAAATATAAACTGCCCCTTTAATATATAGACTACCAACCGCCGACATCGCCACTCTCTGTGCCCTCGAGATGGAGAAAGCAGCGCCTGCCGCAATTTCCCAGGGAGCAGCCAAGGCAAAAGCCAAGACTGACGTCCAAAGAAGCCAGGAACTGGTAAAGGTCGCCCTGGAATTGCAATGTGGGATTGCAGTCATGAACCAAGCCATCCAAGAGACCCCACGCAGTCCAATCGTGAACTGTACGAGAAGAAATCCGAGTCAATCCAAAAGGCCATTGCAGAGGCCGAAGCTCAGGGCAAGGCTGCCAATGATGCCATCCTTGAGCGACGGGCAGAGATGAAGCAGCTGCGAGAGCAGTATGCTGAGAAGGAGAACGAAGCTAAGATTTTGCTGAAGAGGCCATCCTCCAGCCGCGCCGCTTCGGTGCCGGCGGAGTTGCCAAGGCTCTCAGCAGATTTGGCATCAGGCATGGATCCACGAGTGGCGAAGAAAGAGAAGAGTCGCCACCGTGCTGAGCAACATCGAGTTGCAAGCCTTG